CTCGCAACAGGCACCGCGCGACTGTAGAGCAGCCGCGGCTTGCCGTTCTCGTTCGCGAGAAAATCGATCTGCACTCTCCCGCTATCGGTGTAGCTCAGCGAAAGCACTGGGGCATTCGCCTCGCAGTTCTCGCGGTCCGCAGTACGACCCTTGTGCTGCACGAGGTCTACGATTCCCGTCCTGTTTCGCACGCAGAGCCGAACGGGCGATTCGCGCGAACTGCTCATCGCAAGTTGAGACGAACTTCGAATTAAGTTAAATCAAAAAGAGATGAGGGACCGCGAAAAAACCGGCTTCGCGCAGCTGCAAGCGGAACTGCTGCACAAAAACCGGCTCACCTTTTTCAACGCCTTTTTCAAGTTGCTCCAGGCGCTCTGCTTGTCGCCGACGCCCACCTGCGGCGCGGAGTGGGGAATTGCGAAACTCAACGTGCTTGTGCTGCACGAGACGCTAACGCAGTGCCTGCGCTACTTCTTCTCGATCGCTGCCGACCTGCAGCAACGCCTCACGCTGCACGCGCCCGCGCGACTCGAGGCGTTGCACCGGCAGCGGCTCGGCAAGAACGCGGCGGCGTTCGCGCAGTTGTTCATGGACGCTGCGCAGCGCCCACGCGGCGCCGAAGCGCTGACGCACCTCTATCTTCCAGATCCGTACGCGACGCAAACGGCGTCTGACGCAGAGCTGCTGCGCGCAGTTCGCAGCCGATGCGCCTTCCACCCGGACTTCCAACCTTCGCACGGCTTCTTCTGGCGCGCCGCGCCGCGGCCCGCGACGCGCAACCTTTCCGCCGAGCAAAACGCAAGCTGGCTGAAATCTGCGGCGACTGCCTCGGAGGACCAAAGCTGCGAACCCGTGCCAAGCGTCGTCGACCGACTGTATCTGCACATGTAGCCGCGCCGTCCGACTAGAAAAACGAATCCCACAAATTCTGTTCATGCGACTGCTTAGACTTCGACAAATACGGGTCCGTCTGCGCCACCTTCGCTGTCGCGCCCGACAGAGCAGTGCGCGCCGCGCCGCACTCTTTTCCGCTCTTTTTTCCGGCACTTCCGAACTCACTCTCCGATTTTGCCGGCAACGCCGCCGCCGTAACGGCCTTTGCCGCGTTCGGACCCGCAACCGCGGCCGCTGCCGAACTCGACCACGCCTGCTGCGCGCCAGACTTGCCCGCGACCACCATCGGACCCGCCGTCGGAGCCGCCGCCGGAGCCGAACCCCGAGCTGA